TATATATAGTATTATCATTTTGTGATCCAATATCAAGTATATAAAGTACATTACGCCAATAAAAATATATTTATATAAAAAATATTAATTGGAAAATACAATTACCAATATTGCTATTTTGCGACGTCAATTGCTCTTCTATTTTGTAATCAATATCTGGAATATCTAACTGTAAAGGATCAGGCTCTTCAGAATCAGGTGTCTGGAGTATACTTTGTTCTTTAATATCATATTCATTATTTTCAGTATCTGAAGAAAAATTTTTTATAAATAAATCGATATTTATATTATTTATAAATGTAGCTTCCATTATATTATTATTTTGTGATTCAATATCAAGTATATAAAGTACACTACGCCAATAAAAATATATTTATATAAAAAAATATTAATTGGAAAATACAAATAAATTACCAATATTGCTGTTTTGCGACGTCAATTGCTCTTCTCTTTTGTAATCAATAGTGATGCTATCTGCCAATGTTTTAGGGAAAATGTTTGTCGCTGTCGCATCATTTTCAATCTTTTCTGAAAAAATTAAGGAAAGATAAATTTTTGTAAATAATTATTAATGCTCGTCTTTTTCACTGCTTTTTTATCAAATCTATAGTGATTTACAGGTTGTTTTATTGCTTTAATTGTATTTAAATGTATTTAAATGTCTTACCTTCTTTCACTACTGGTTTTAGAACTGGATTTAGAACATCTATCGTAGGGACCGCTCCACGATGTAACCTTAGTCTTGTATTTTTTATTCTAAAAACGCTGGATTCGAAATGCCTAGTACAAATATAAACGTTTGACACATTATCCCGCTCATTTAGTCCGCACGCGTTCAACCACTGTTGATAAGTGTGTAGACATGATTTGGGAAATCTGAAACAAAATTTTTTTAGTTAATTTTAATAGCCTCAATTCTGAGAAAAAAAAGTTAACAAGTACATTGAAACATGAAGCATAAAAGTAAGGATTATTAGTATAAATGAATTCAATAATTAATTTTATATTTACCGATGTAAAACAATGTTCTTGTTTTTATTACATCCCTTCTCACATAAATAGCACTTTGCAACCATTCTTTGCTTTAAAGGAAATTTGTTATAAAAAGCGCAAGAAAACGTGACTGACGCGAACGTTGTATTTTCCTTCCTACTTCGTAACTAATATAAATGTTGGGTTAGACGGCTATTGAATTAGCCTGAATCGAGAAGACCAGGAGGACCAGGAGACTCAACTCCCGTGGTGGGGGTAGGTTAATATATGGTCGCATTTCATGGGCGCTGTTTGCGATATGGTCGACGGCCAATTTATGAACTACGCGTGTATTAAACTTCGTTCACGTTGTTTGTTGTGAACCGTTGTCAAAAAATTTCTGTAAATAAAAATAAAGTTTTTCTTTTCATAGCCTTTCCATTTCTTTGAATCGAGTTTCTGTAAATAAAAATGAAGTTTTTCTTTTCATAGCCTTCCATCTCTTTGAATCGAGTATTAATTAATAATTAAATGAGAGATTTTGAGACGAGGAAGAGATGATAGGACGAGAGGGGAGACATTTAGATATTTATATCAACGAAATAAAAAGTATTGTTTGCATAATAATTTGTAATTTTAGAATGGTTTTATTATTTTTTGATATTTTGCCGTTTCATTATTAATTTATTCACATTCATCAAGAATGTAAATGTTATAATTCAGTTTATCACCAGATTTATCAGCGTATTTTACGTCGCGTGATTGTATATAGAATTAAAATTTATTAATTCCTTTATACGAAATGTACAATCGTAGTTGTAAATATCTATTGTATCTGCAGTAATCGAATATATGCTACTTACATCTATCATTTTGTTCTCAACTTCATTATCATTGTCACTTGAACTTTTTTATTTACTCTTGGCTACAACGTTTCGCTTTCCTTTCTTGCCAGGCTCGACCGTTACGTCTGAAATTATCACAATGAAAGCCATATTCTACGCGACTCTCTTATTAATATTATAGTACTCGTCTCAACAATTAAATGTAAGTGTAAGCGTTAGAAAATCATCAACTACTGTAGATAATACACTCCAAGTAATACACGTACGCAGATGTATTGGATTGGCTTAATCCCTTAGGTATAAATATCTGCTTAAATTAAGCTTCAAACATTTACTTAAGCTACCGAAAACAACGACACGATCAGTACGTTTCTTTTTACCGAAAGTACAGTGTATTCGTATCATTGTATATATTTAAAAGAGACATGTTTCAAAATTTTTGTGTTAGCTATATAGTGGATGACGCTGACGCAAAAAGAATTGCCGACTCCGGAATAAATCCAAATGAATTTGTATATCACAGTCGTCGTTCAATAATATCAATCTACTTGTAAATCAAATTTAATCCTAATCTACAATTTGTTTAAGGGCGACTTCTAAATTTAAGTTTAAAGAAATTGGAAGAATAATCACAAGATACGAAATAATAGAAATATACATGTTCAACGGTAACATAAAAATTATTTTTCTTAATATAAATAATCTAATCAATACTTTAAATTTAGAGTTAAATTATTAATCATATATCACGATATATATTATATTTTGTTGAATCCTCTGCATAAACATCGTTTCAAAATCTAGAATCGTACTTTCAAGCCTTCTACACATTGTACCTATATTTGTGTCAGGTACTATGGACAAAAGGACGGTAAATAGCATTTCAAGCACGATATTTCTCAATCTGAAAATATATCCTGTAGAATATCAGCTTTTCTTTCATTTCATATTGAAATAAAAAATTATTTGCAATTGATAAGATTACAGCATTATGTATAATATATGCAATACTGTAATCTAGAATGCAAATAATTTATAACAAGAGAACTCTTTTATAAATTATTTGCAGATCAAATTGCACTATATGTATATGATCATATAATCTTCTCTTGTTCTCTTGAAGCTATCAATCAAATATATCTTGGTTTTCCAATAAATTACCACGTATGATACTAATTAGATAGAAACCTGTCTTCCTGTTGTCTCAGAAAGACACGGCACTATATACATATGTATAGACGATCTTGTATGCTCGCAAAATGTAAACCTCCACATTCTTAATATGCAAGTCACTACATACCATTATTAGCTACACTCATTGGCTTATCCTTTTTTGTGTCATCAAGACTTTCCGTAAATAATGTAAAAAAAAAAGCGAATAAATTAAAGAACAATTGAAGTAAAATTAGTACACACCTAGCTCCCATTGCTCGCAATACTTTTCTAAATGTTAGTCGAGTTGCGCACGGTCGGAAATTTAAGTAACAAGTACATCGCGTTACATTATAAATATGTTCATGTAGATTTTAGATAAATGTACAATATTATTCTAACAAGATACATCAAAGTAGTTAATCGGAAGTAAATTTTTAAATCTTTGTATAATATATATACATATAGCTTTGAATTTGTTCACTCACATGTTTAAAAAAAAAAAGTAAGAAATATTAATTGGGAGTTTTATGTATACGCTGTATCACAAATTCGGATTTTGAGAATTTTCTTAAGCTTTTTTTTTAAATGTAACACTTCTCGCGTTTCCGTCACCAAATTCCTTTGAACAGAATCTTCTCGGAACGTCTACTAAAACTATCATTCCTACAGAGATTTTAGCTTAAATATAATAGAATTTCCATGGTGCGTCAGAAACTTTTATCTACAACACGAATTTATGAAACCGATAACGCAATTAATGTCAATTTTATAATTACAAATCGTAAAATCAAATAATTTCTATTATCTTAATATAATTCTGCAAAAGTTAATAAACAAAATCGACACTTTCTTTTAGCTGTCATAAATAAGATTGAGTCTTGACATTCTCATGTTAGATATAACACGGAAACTGAAAAGAATCCCTTTAGCTGCCTTAGACTTGAAAGAAGGTTCTACAGCTATATCTGCGAATTAAAAATTATCGTTCCAATTTATTAGATTAATATCAATAATATAAATTCATCATCTTTCCATGCAGTATAAATATAATTCAATGTACAAATACTTGGATATCATGACATTGGCAATATTCTCAGCTCTATTTGTTTTTTAAAGCTGCAATTTATTTATTGCTGTATCAAAATTTTATAATCTTGTATCTCTTTCCACCGTATACTCACATGTAATTTAAAAATACACTGTTTATGTATATTTATATATCACAACGTAATGAAAAAAGCGTCTTATGCAATTATTTGTATGCATTCTAAGGTCCGTGTTATTTTTCCGTAAAATAACGTAAAATTTCGTAAGATGGATCTATCTCGCATTCACATAGCTGACCGCAATAAATAAGCACAATTATATCTCTCGACACGATTATTCGTCATGCTCATTATAAGCAATTGCATAGAACATGACATGTTAGATATATTGTTATACATATATATCGTTATGATCAAAGTGTAAAAATACAACTTTGATAATAAATGTGCTTTGTTGATATAAAACAAATACATAACATGTAATATGCTGCTAGCACAATAAAATCTGCAATATGGAGATTTCTCTATGTGTATTTTTTACACGCCCGCGCGCACATACTCGCACTTACATACGTACGCAAAACGTACACGCAATTAATTAAATATTAGACGAAATAGGCTGTATTTACATTAGGAAATAGATTACCGAATACAAACAAAATGACAAAAGGCTATAACAAATGAGATGTTAAAAAAGAATAATGTTATATGTATAATAATAATAATAATAATAACCAGGAGTATCGCTTCCTTGATCAGACTGATAAGAATAAAATTGCATCGATCGCAGGATAATGCCAGATGATCCTGTTCAAAGGTCAGATTGAATTGTAAGATAACAGACGAATCCTTCCGCCTCTCATTTTTCCTAGTGCGAGTATCAATACTCTTTCGCTATTAAGCTTTGTCGATAGAAGTATCTTTCATAATGTCATCCTTGGTGATATTCTGGTTCATTTGGTCGTTTTCGTACTCTACAAAGTCATCGAATAAGCTTGGCCACGCCTCCGCGTCATCGTAAGCACCAAGATCGTCTCCGATGCTCTCGGCAAAGTTTAGAAACATGTTCCAAGTGTCCCTAGGTATCCCCCGGATGTGATGACATTCAAGAAAGTTTAGCCACCTCGTTAGGAGCGGAGGTTCGCGTATCGTGAAGACGAGTCTCCAAAGATCGATTGCCATATCAGCTGGTAAGATTCTCTGGCCGGACGTCACGTCGAGGCCAAAACGGAATGTGAATCGATAGAGATCCTTGAACAAATCACTATTGATCGTCAATTCTTGAACGATCTCAGGCAACCGCGCCTGTATACCACGTATACTGTCGACCTTGATCGCTTTTAATCCCGTGACAAATTCCTGGCGCGTGAATTGGCACATTTGCTCCGCATTCAACTTCCATGCGAGCACAAGTACTTTAAATTCATCGGGCGATAACTGTAAATCATCACAGAGTCTTTCTATACCGTCAGCTAATATTACATCTTCGTGAGGATCCTTAAAAATAAACATCAAGTATATTAGTTGGTCTCGAAACCTTTGCCCTTTCTTTTACGCACACACACATATTTCTCGCAATGTAGACTACAGAGAAATGTTGCATTGCTGCTGTACCTTGTATTGGTCGAAGAGAGCATTCAGTTTGCTCTCCGATGGTTCTTTTTGCTGCCTAGGTTCATTACTTAGGTTAAGACCCGACGACGTACTGGATCGTCCTAGCGGCTGTAATCGCGCATAGAAGCCTCGCGACAAGCGATTACTTTGTGCATTAGGTACAGATCCGCAGTTATCCGAGCCTACGTTGTTAAACGTGGGTAGCGTACTCGAAGACTTTCTGTTCCCGTTTGCATGTGTTTCAGGCACGAAGGAACCGGATTGCTGGCAAGAATTTGGGAACAAACCTCTGAGTTCCATCGTTTCTACGGAAGACGATGAGAAAATTGTAAATTCACACACGGCGCGAAATCGCTCTGTACGTACGAGAGGTTTTAGGCACCTACCGTCTTTATGCTCCAATACGATCGATCGATCAGTGCTGGTCGATGGTGGAAGTGGCACCTTGAAGCACGAAAAGCAGTTTCCCATTGATGCTGACCGTACTTGACATCAAAGACGATTATGTCACGCATCAGTAATTCAGTCTTACATTGGCAGTCTTGATGGAAAGCTGTAATAGTCGTCATAGTAAAATTTGTCGACGACACGACAATGCTGACCGAGGGCAGGCTCGGTCGACGTGGAAAAAGAGGTGGATACTATGGAACGCGATACGAGGACGCGCAACGAGCCGAGATAATCCAGGAGGGCTGTAAAGGCCGTAAGTACGTGTACAAGACTTGGAATACCTTATTGTTACGTATCTGTTGTGGTGGTTGCTCGGTCGACCCGCGGGCGTTGGACGAGTGTCACGCAAGTATCTCGAGCGAGACTCGCCCGCGTTCATCGATCCTCAGAGGAACCGGGAGGATACGGGAGGTAAGCAAAGCCTAAAGTCGTCCTCGGAGCGTGTCATTTGCGATGTTGCAAGCCCGCGAGGCCGTGCGACAAGGGGCGTCGTCGATCTCATGCCAAACACGAAGAGGAGCGCAGGATGCTCATCCGCGGTCGCGGCGGTCGACGTCGACGTCGACGCGGCCGACGCGGCCGACGCGACTGGTCGATGTCGATGCCGACTGACACTGGCCGGACACTGGCGTGGTTGACCACCGCCTCGGAGCTCGAAGACACCCTCGGGCGAAGACACCACGACTGACGACCGACCGAGCGGACCGAGAGGCGCGAGGTCCGCGAGGTCCGCGAGACGAAGACGTTCCTCGTGCCTCAGGGTCTCCGAGGAGGGGAAAAAAAAGAAAAAGTCCTCTGCCATCCGCTGATCTACGCTGATCCAGGGCTATTTCGTTTCGTAGGTTGCACACAGTTGCCGACAGTA